GAGCCCCCCGAGGAGCCCCTCCTGGGGGAGCTGACGGTCACAGGATCCTCCCCAGACTCGCTGAGCCTCTCCTGGACCGTCCCCCAGGGCCACTTTGACTCCTTCACTGTCCAGTACAAGGACAGGGACGGGCGGCCCCAGGTGGTGCGTGTCGGGGGTGACGAGAATGAGGTCACCGTCGGGGACCTGGAGCCAGGGCGCAAGTACAAGATGCACCTGTACGGCCTGCACAGGGGACAGCGCGTGGGCCCCGTGTCCACCGTGGGCGTGACCGGTGAGTGGGGCTGAGACAGGGCCCCCTGGGGAAGATGGCCCTGCAGGACTTTCTGTTTATTACCACGTGCATGAAAACACATATTCTCGGCAGCACGTCTCTTTTACACTTCACATGGCCTGAGGATCTCGGTAAAGGGCGGATTCAGATGCCACAGTCGTGGGCTGGGGCCAGAGTTTCTACATCCCTGATGCGATGCTGATGCTGCTTGTCCAAGGACCACACTTTGAGTAGCAGAGCTCATCACGAAGGAATTAGACGCTTTCTTAGAATTTGTTGGAGAGAGTTGTACTGGCATCCCTGATTCGTCCCAGAGGCTTTGCCTCCCTGTAGTTCACTGGAGGCTGGGGGAGAAGACAGAGGGGGCTCAGGATGTAGCATCCTGACCGAAACACCTCCAGGCCTCGTGGTTTGGGTGCTATCAGGCTTCTGATTCCCATGGGTCAACAAGATTGGGTGCCCTGAGCCAAGCACTGTGGGAGTTCACTGGGGCGAGCCTGATCGTGGCAGAGAGAGAAGTTCTTATCGTAATGGGGCTCCCGGGCGTGGGGAGACAGGCCGTGAACCAGCAATCAGGCAAAGGAGCATGTGCGTGTGACAGGAAGCCCTGGGACCAGGCCAAGACTGGGCAGCATGCCTAAGCCAGCCTGCCCAGGGGTGTCCACGGGACAGCTGGACACCTGAGGCTGGGCGGGGCGTTCGCTTGGTGACAGGGTCAGATCCACGTCACAGCTGGTGCCAGGGACTGGAAACTAGGCACGTCGCGGCCCATGAGAGCGACAGAGAGGATTCTGTGTGAGAGCCTCTGAGTGAGGGAGGGAGTCGTGAGATGGGGGTGGAGCAGCAGAAGCAACTCAGAAGCCAGGGGCTCAGCCCGGGGGTAGAGAGGGCTGTTGCCCGGTGAAGCTAAGACCTACACCATCAGATGTGCAGCGGAAGGCTCGGCCTGGCCCCTGTGAGGAACGGACTGGGCAGGGAGGCAGGGAGCCCAGGAGGGACACGGTGACCCAGGGGAGAGGCGACGGGGCTGCGGTGGGACCCAAGCCAGCCTGGTGGGGCTGCAGGTGTGGGGAACCCAGGAGGAACTCAGTCGGACGCTCTGAGTC